ATACCAATGTGATAACAATATTTGTACGTTTATTTTAGCGAAAACACGGTCTTTCACGATTTCAACCAAAACCATTCAAATGGAAGTCCCTGCACAGATTCCTGTCTCAATTACAGTAATGTGAAGTATGAAAACTCACATTAGAAGAGTAAGGGACCGTTCATAATTTATGGCTAGGAGGAGTGATGATGATTTTTATGGAGAATCATGTATAATGTGAATGCCCCCCCCAAAAAAAAAAAAAATAAATAAATAAAAAAAAAAAATGAATAATAATAATAAATAAAAAATAATAATAAATAAATAAATAAATAAATAATAATTAAATATAATAAATAAATAAGTAAATGAATGAATGAATGAATGATTGTATAAATAAATAAGTACATTATGTACAAAGTGACACCCCTACATGTCATGTACAAAATCAATGCCCCCTACCCCCCCTCCTCTTCCCAAAATTAGTAAGCATTCGTAAGCTGTGACCTTGACCTTTGACATTCAGTCAACTAAATATATGTATCACCTAAACATTTAGTGGGGGATGGGGTTGTTCAAGATACGTGCACTCTTACAAGTTACAAGAATTACAAACATCTACATAGTATAACGCCGTTCTGTGGTTGCGTATCAGGATGTTGGGTGGGAGGGAACCTTACAACATACGAGATAAGTTGAGTTGAAATGGGATTTGTTAGTCAAGATTCAAGAGTATTGCACTTTTGCAGAGACGTACGAGGAGATTTCACCCGTGGCTGCTTGGACCTGTTTACTCATGCCGGGACTTCTTAGCACTCACCCTCTGTAATACCAACTTGACCCAGGACACCACAGACACGATCGAGCCCCCTATGCCTTTAACGTCTAGCGCCAGACAGGGCAACAACAAGCACCATGGTATAACACCTTTTGTTTTGTTGCGACCAGGTATCAAAGCACTTTCCACTCTGCGGGCAGACGTTTTATCCTCAGGAGTGAGTATGGTTTTACGAAGCTTTTAGCAATATTCAAGCAATATATTGTACCCATGTGGGGAATCGAACCCGGGCCTTCTGCGTGACGAGCGAACGTTTTAACCACTAGGCTAACTCACCGCCCCTCTATCCACTAGACCTCGGAGCAGGTAATCACAATATGTAACATGACAACATATTTGAAATATACAGAGTTCTAGACAGGGTCATGTGGAACTCTTTTTTTTTCTTAATGATACTGGGTATTTTCAGTAGATCATGAGGTGAAAACGTCTTATTGCTAACCGGACGGACGAAGACCCATAACATTCACCAGTCAAAGGAAACGGCATATGTCCGATTCTTTCCTATTACTTTGGTTTATCAAGACATTGGTCCTTAACTTCTTTTGAGTAGTATATGAATTCACATTAATGAGAGGCGGTGGGTAGCCTAGTGCTTAAAGCGTTCGCTCGTTACGCCGAAGATCCGGGTTCGATTCCCCACATGGGTACAATGTGTGAAGAACATTCTCGTGTCCCTCGCCGTGACATTGCTGGAATATTGCTAAAAGCGGCGTAAAACAATACTCACTTAAACACATTGCCAATATGAACATATGCTAAAGGACACTATTACAACGTACGGAACCACATTGCAGGTATTGCCTGACACGGAAGCTTTATCACAGTCGTGCGTCTATTGGTTCCGCTGAACAGACATGCATTGATTCAAAATGCTGCTTGACATGCACCTAATCAACGAAAGCCACGTACGTCATCGTAAACGATAAAATCTAATAAGGATGAGGAAATAGCCGTTCATGATTTAGTAAATCTGTGTCAGCGCAACATGTAAACAAGTCATATAAACGAGTGGCTGATTGCATGAACGACAGATGGCGTTAATGGTGTGAGATTACCACAACCAACCAGATCAGCCCAAACAACTATCCCTGTTCACATTTCCGGGGTCCTGATCCACATAGCGTTACTTGTCGTAATTCTATGGTTTATCATAGGCTTACGAATGTCGTTGACCCCATATTAAGCCTCCCATGTTAAGCTGCCACGACGTGATATAACTGCATGAATACTGTTCAAAGCGGCGCTTTACTCAACTCACTCGTCCTGTATGTCAAAATATCTCACCTGCGATGTACAGTAATGGTATGGCTTTTTGTGTTTTCATTACACACAGGACTATATGATGCTGACTATTCTGATGCTTGGTTGGTTGGCTTGTTTGTAGAACGCCGCACTCAGCGATATTCCAGCTATATGGGGGCTGTCTGTTAATAATCGATCTTGGACCAGACAATCCAGTGATCAATATCATGAGGATCGATCTACGCAATTGGGATTTGATGACATGTGTTAACCAAGTTAGCGAGTCTGACCACACGATCCCGTTAGTCGCCTCTTACGACAAGCATGGGATACTGAAGATAAATTCTAACACGGATCTTCACGGGTCTATTCTGATGACTATTACATGACCAACAACTGGCGAAGGATGATGAGGCATCTATTAAAGCATGGGCTGCTCAGTTGTACATTCTTGGAGGTCAAACTGTATCTGTGTCATCGCTAAGTTTTATTGATCAATTCATTTGTCCTTCACGCTCAATCTGTTTTGTTTTTGTTTTTGTTATTTATTTGACTGTTGGGGTTAAATATTATTTGTACATGTGTTCCAGCACAAAAGAAGCACAAGAAACTGCCAGGAGTCAAACTGCAAAACACGTTTATCCATCCAACTACTCTCCGCCACCAACGTTATTTGGCTTCAACTGATTCATGATTTACGACCAGATAATAGTCATGGCGTGACATGAGAACACATTAAACACTAGGCTACACCATCATCTCCGATCAACTCTTGACTCACGTTAAATTTTACTGAGTTTGTTCAATGGCAGTAGTTACTGATAATTCACAACATATATGTGATACATTCAGAAACATCATCTACTAAACGGAGCAGGGGGACACTTCAAGCAATAATGTTTGGATATAACGAAGATTATCACTCAGCAAGATGGCTACCTAAGCCCTCTACATATGAAATCTTAAAACATTTTTATAACTTAACTCTGAAGTACTGAGTTGTGAATAGACAAATATCTCATGACATTATGCCCATGTACTTCATCATGGTTGGTAATTTCCCAACTACCCGGCGCCATCGTGGAAACAGACGAAGAAAAGTGTAAACAAAGGGGGATGGGTACAGGCTACATAACTCCAAATGTTTCCCATACACTTTATAGTATTATATATTTTTTTTAATCACCCAGGCTGTCAACAGCCATTCCATGTACACATGGGTACAGTCTGGCCTTTAAACAACAATAAAAACACATAATTCCAGCTAACTTTTCCGAGCACAGGAATCTGAACACATCAACCCCAGTTCCGCACCAAATGTCACCTACTGGAAAATATCTGTACACCCAATAAGCATAAGTCATGGTGATAACAATGACAGCACTAAATACTTAAAATTGTGGTCAGTTGTAATTACTGGATGGATGTGCTTTTAAAAAACATAAACATCTTACACTATTTCATCCAATTTTATTGTAATTTTATTAGCATTTATAGTATGACCAGAAATTATTGAGAATTTTAGGAATATGTTTAATTGGATTTCTAGTATAAACAACCTTGACCAGCTATCAAGTGCTTGGTTTCATTCAAGAGAGACAACTCCGTTAATCCTTTTTCATTAGTTTGTGAAGAGTTATCCCCCTTTGTTTACTTGCTAGCAGACATTTTCAGTGATCCTCAGTATGGATGAGCTAGAGAAGAGGAAGTTGATTTTAGAGTATTATAACAAGGACATCAGATCAGCTAAAGTGATTTCAAGTAGAACAGGCACCCCTTTGTCTACTGTTTATCGTGTTTTGAAAAATATTGCAAATGGATATGGCATTGAGCACCAGGGAGGCGCAGACAGGCCCAGAAAATTTACTGTCGGTGACAGGAGGCGGCTTGGTATTCTTGTTTCTAAAAATAAACGAAGGAGTTTAGAAAACTTAAGGCTGGATATGATTGATAGAGGAACTGTGGCTGTCTGTAAGGAGACAATTAGAACTGAGCTGCATGCAAGGGGTCGGCAGAAAAGTCGAGGAATTCCATCACGAAAACTGAACAAAAGGAGTGAAGGTTGAACTGGTGCTTACAGCATAGAAATTATAACTGGGACAATGTGATTTTCTCAGATGAAAGTTCTGTGTGGTTGTTTCTTAATACACTGAAATTCTGGACCAAACAAACTGAAAAACCTTTGTATCAGCAGCCAAAGTACAGTCCGAAATTTAAGGAATGGGGTGGCATATCTCTGTTAGGGGCAACGCCCCTCTGTGTATATGAAGGGAATATGAACAGTGAGCGGTACACAGATATTCTCGAGGGACATTAACTTCCATCTGCTCACGTGTTCTATTGATATTTTTGGATTTTCCAGCAGGACAACGACCTAAAACATCGTTCAAAGCATTCACAGGCCTGGTTTCGGACCCAAAATATGACATTATTAGATTGGCCAAGCTATAGCCTAAATCCAATTGAAAATGTTCCGGGACATATGAAGGAAAGTGTCAATAAGAAAAATCTGACAAATATTGCTGAAATGAAAGAAGATGTGGTCCGATATTGGGACAGCATGGACCACGACTTTCTAACTTCTTTGATCAGTAGTATGCCCCGCCGCATTGAAGCCTGCATTGCTGCCCATGGTGACTTGACAAAATACCAACTGTTAACCTGTCTTTGAATCTGGAGTTATGTTCTGCTAATATTCACATTTAATACGTGAGTAATGAGTGAAAAAAATTTACAATCTTAAATCTCAATAATTTCTGGATGTACTGTAAATATAGGTTCATTCACGAAAACAGAACTGGCATCTTCTACTAAGGTACACAAAGAGACATGTAATACACCAGGAGATACACACTACACTTCAGAAGGAATGACGTCATTGAATATTTAATGGATTACAAATTACAATCTAGTAATCAAAGACCTGAGAACTCTTGAATATGTACCAACAGAAAACTGTATTTTTCAAACCATTTTCACATGAAAGGAGTACTCATTTATACATATATATTGTTTGTTTAAATACATCAGCTGGCTATATCCTGGACAATTTTCAACATTTCATAACAGGCCCCCAAAGGACATGAATTTGAACTGTTAAACAGCCTGTTACTCTTATTTACTACTCTTTATTTTACAATAGATGGATGATATCACTTACTGTTGCTAATGGCTATATAAACTTGGCAAAGGTAACACGATAAACACTGTTGAAGCACATGTATAAACATTTGGTGATACAGTAATATCCTTGGGTAAACGTTTATTTCTGAGCTGTTGAGTCAGTATAGTTTGATCACGTCAGTCACATGTCATGCAGCCAGTTAGACCTGACACCGTCTATCAGGAAGGGTGTCCTCTATCACAGAATGTCCAGCACTGCCAACACTTTAGTTCATTCACACACACACTAAACACCAGTTCACTTCCTTCGTCCCCCTCCACCGCCAGAGAGGATCATGGCTATCCTGATGAAAATGTTGACTGTGTCCATGTAGATTCCGATACACCTGTAACAGAGTGGTGTAACAGAGTAAGCGAGCGAGTGTAAATGAAAAGACAACATTGTCATCGGCTCTGCCCTTATGTATTAAAATAACACAACATGCAAAAGAATTATGTAACAGAAACGAAGTTGAAAGGAAGATATGAATCAAGTGACCCACAATCGATTCTTCGTATGTAGCAAACAAAATGTTTTCAACTGTTCAAACTTTCAGTCCTGAGAATAACCTTTAACCTTGTCACTATGTACTTCTCAATAATGGAGATATCAATAATGATATCCTTAAGATGTCCGAGTATTTTCTTGTTGCAAAAACAAAGTTTAATGATAACATATATTATATTTGGGATTACACTTTCTCAGATTCTAGTACTTTGGTTGGGTCGAGTCCCATCCAGAAATTGACCCCACACCCTCAGAGTCAGGCACCTAATCGCCAGCACACAAAGTCAGCTGCTTAACCAGCTCAGCCACCGCTGTGCCTGGCTCTGAGGGTGTGGGTTCGAATCCCGGATGGGACTCAACCCAACAAAAGTGCTAGAATCTGTACTTTACTGGGAAAGTGCAATCCCAAATATAACATATGTTACATTTGACCACTTTCTAAATGGCACAGTGTATTCAAAGTTTAATGACGGTGCTCAAATTCAGCCTTCCCTTTTAATGCTGTTGCTTCGGAATAACTGTTTATCATAGTAAGCAGAACTCAACTTTATTAACCAAATTAACAAATTGACCAAATTTCCACTTACGCATTGACGGGTCGTATTTGCGAGCAGCATACGTTGGGTACGTCTCCGCATTCCTGATGATCTTCTGACTGTCGTACAGCAGGAACATACTGAAGAGCACCAGGCCACCATACACACTGATGGAATATAGCCCTGCACCCAGAGCTGTGGTGGGTGGCAGGAACATCCCCCCTGAAGGTGAGAAAAAAGAAACATCATGAGAACTCTGTTGCAGTGCCACTCAGATCTCATCATTATAATGGAGAAAATGGCTGAAGCTCCATAAAATCATTCCTTATTGCATTCCATTTTCAAACACTGCTAGATCTGATGATATATGTTCTGACACTGCTGGACAAAAGACTTCAGAAACTGCATGGTATTAGATTCCAAATCTACAAAACAGAATCTTTCCAAGAGTTTGTCTCAAACCATCTTAACTATCACTTTAAATCATAATTCATAGCATCATGTGTAATAAATAAATCAATTATACACATGGACACATATTGTGGACAGTTATTATGTTCCGAATATTGCAAAGCTACAATCAGTAAAAGACTGGGTTAAGACTTTGAAAACCTGATACTGTCACCAGTTTTCTCCTTGAACAATGTCAATAATACGTCCAACCATATCTCTAGTTGTAGCCCTGTACACTAAATCCACCAAATGATAAATTTTGTTGCATAATTCTACATGATATCAAACTTGTATGTATTAGAAAACAGATGATATATTTTTCTACATCACTGAAACAGATGACTTTTGGGGGTGGAAATAATTCGGGGCCAAGTCACGAGTCAAAGGGAGACAACTCACCAACGGAGGAAGCAAACACGACTCCAAGTCCGATAGCTAAGGGGCCTCCCATGTTGAGGAACTTTTCACTGGGTGCACACATTGCCACAGTAGACAGAGCTGGAACAGACAGGTAAAGAATTATGGCTGTGTATTGAGAGGGCAGAATCAGCAGGCACATGTAATAACTAAAATATTGGCTTAATCAGTTACTTCTGTGAGGTGATGATGGAGTTGTAACCGTTTCACTACTTAATATCACAACACCTGTAGCTTAGTTAGGTGCCAAAATAACAAATTCAGTCATTATATTCTTTCTGTGAAAGGATCTGGTTAGTGAGAATGGTCTTACACAACTTTTAGCAATATTCCAGCAATATCACAGCCTAGGACATATTGAGAGCTGAGCATTGGTGATGGGCAGGACAAGCAGATGTTTGAGCCATAAGGCTATACCACCTCCCCTCTTTCAAAGGAAGCGATGGTTTAACAATTCACTTCGCATCCTTTCAGGCAAAACATTTCACAATGATTACAACTCATGATAAATGAATGAGTGACCCCGCACTCAGCAATATTCCAGCTATATGGCAGCTGTCTGCAAATAATCGAGTCTGGACCAGACAATCCAGCGATCAACAACATGAGCATCGATCTGCGCAATTGGGAACCGAGGACATGTGTCAACCATGTCAGCGAGCCCGATCCCGTTAGTGCCTCTAACCCGGATCTTCACGGGTAGAGTGAGTGGGTCGAATGCTGTGAGCACTATTGTAGGTAATATTCATGCCATATCAGTAGCCTGTAAATGTTTTAATCTGGACAAGAAAAGCTGAAGCTACCATATCAGTAGCCTGTAAATGTTTAAATCTGGACAAGAAAGCTGAAGCTACCATATCAGTGGCCTGTAAATGTTTAAATCTGGACAAGGAAGCTGAAGCTACCATATCAGTAGCCTGTAAATGTTTTAATCTGGACAAGAAAGCTGAAGCTACCATATCAGTGGCCTGTAAATGTTTTAATCTGGACAAGAAAGCTGAAGCTACCATATCAGTGGCCTGTAAATGTTTAAATCTGGACAAGGAAGCTGAAGCTACCATATCAGTGGCCTGTAAATGTTTAAATCTGGACAAGGAAGCTGAAGCTACCATATCAGTGGCCTGTATAATGTTTAAATCTGGACAAGGAAGCTGAAGCTACCATATCAGTGGCCTGTAAATGTTTAAATCTGGACAAGGAAGCTGAGCGCATGAGCCACTATCTACACCATGGTGAAACAATTACATTGTAGTTCAATCACTTAACTGAACAACTGATCCATATCAGCAGTCTCTTACATTAAAGTTCAAATTACAATAAGAATAGGGGCAGTGAGAGGTTAAAGCCTTTGCTCGTCATGCCAAAGGCCATGGTTCAATTCCCAACAAGGGTACAATGTGTGAAGCCCATTTCTTATGTCCCCATCATCACACTGCGAACATTGCTAAAATGGTATGAAACTAACTGTCTCTCACAATACAAGGAGATAATAGCTGATTATCATCCTACTCTGTGATCTTCCTGGTTCACTTTGTTGTTTAATGCCTAATTCAGCAATTTTCCAGCTATACGATGACAACATTGAACAAATCCATCAATTCAGGCTACAATGACAGAGCAGGGGCAGATCCAGGAATGTGGAGAAGGAGGGTGCACATAAGTCATGAAGTCCAAATGGTTAGGGTGAAATGCTCCTCAGGGAAACATTTTTTTGTGGTGGTGGTGGGGTTGCGCACCCCCTCCCCTCTGGATCCACCCCTGCACAGTATATATGAAGTCTCTCCATCCACCAACAAAGTCAACACATAATGGCACTGACACAGCTTGCCTGGGCATGATATAAACTGGAATCCCCAAGGTAGAAGTGTTGAAGACATTCCAACCCCACCATCACTACAGTACCTGAAGCTGTTCACATACCTCCCCACCAGTCCAGCCCCATGTCACTACCGTACCTGAAGCTGTTCACATACCTCCCACCAGTCCAGCTGTGTACCAGGCTGCGCGGATCAGCAGCGGACCCCCCAGCATGGTGATGGGGGCAATGACTGCTCCGACCACACCACTGTAGCCAATCCAAGCCAGCTGCTTCATCCCAAACCCCTCCTGGTATGGGATGGACCGGCACACTATGCCTGCTCCTATCATAGCAGCAAATGTTGCTCCAATAGCCTGAAAAACACACCACATGTCCATAATTACAGCCTGTGTTCATGCTCCATAGGATACACAGAGATAAGCATGTGTGTCGTCCTGATTTTACAAAACAAGAGTCAGAATTCTTGTAAGGCCTAAAAAAAAAATGTTGTGGTTCCGATTACCAGACCAACCCTGGTGCCAACCCTATATTTTTTAAGTTCTGAATAAAATAAGCCAGATACCATTGTTTTTCCGGCACCCATCTATTTTAGAAAAAGTCGACATGATGATCGCGGTTGATGAATAAACAATAAATTGATAAATGTGTTATTAGATTACCATTGTAACAAAATTACCTACATACCCTAAATTTTAAAGAGGTGTAATAGGAACCACAGCATTTTTTTTATTTGGCCTAATTCCTGAGCAATAGTGTGGGTAACTAATGCAATCTTACCAAGCTGATGGGTTTCATAAATTCAAACTGGCACAAATGTGAGGATAATAATTACCTTGTAGCCATAATATACTGACATTTCAAAGCATTGTGATGCACATTTATTAATATTTCAAATGCAGGTATTTGTATTTGATATTAGAGGTTTCATTCAAACATTTCAAAATTACCACTATCCCAATCTTGTCTGTAACATTTCAAACTGTGAAAAGACGTCGAGTACTGTTGCCTTAACATGGTCCTTAGCATTACTTTGAGCTTGGCACGGACGGAAAGTTCAATGTATGACTGAAAATCAAAACATGGACTGAAAGTTCAAAGCATGGTTTGAAAATTGTTTTCATGTTTTCCCAAAACTCACCATCCAAGAGTTCTTCGTCATCAGTCTCATCATGGACGGGTTCCGACTGACAGCCATGGCAGACATGGCAGTGATGGCCACACTCCCCCCGAAATACATGTAGGTCGCTCTGATCCTCTTCTTCACCTCCTCAGGCCATAGGCTGAACAGATAGAGGACATCGATGGTAATACCAGCAACACTAATCAAACTAATCATCAGTTAGACCACATCATCAACTGCCCCAATCACAACATAATTTGGGACAATGTGGACATATTATCCAAAACCACCAGGACTTCACCAAAAGGAAACTTGCAGAAGCAGTTCAAACTGAGACACAAGCCTCAATCAACAGAGACCAGGATATCTCATCCCTTCTGCATACAATGATCTCATAAAACAAACAGATTAGAGCACCCTCAGCCATCATTGTTAATTAATCTCATCAGCATGTATATTTTGTTTTTACATCCACCACCATTGGCTTCCTATTGTCACTACATTATTGCCACCGTGCCTTGTTGTTATTGTTAACCCCCCTCATTCAGTCCTACATGTTGTTATTACTTAATCCCTGTTCATGTATATAAGCCTGTTCTGTGCTGTAGTACTTCACTCTTGCTTGACAACGGTATAAGAATCCATACCGAAACGTCGCATCATATATAATAAAGAAGTTGTTATCCATAAATATTCTTACTTTCTTATTAGTCACCAACTTCTAAATGCCAATCAAACAGATAATCATCAGTTGTGGAATTAGTGCTGTACACCTACACACGATTACTATTACGGAACAGTATTTTAGTTACATCAGGTAATGTCATCAGTGGTAGGATCGCCTCAAGTGATGCAGGCCACTAAAGTGTGATGCCAACACTGAAAGCCCAATATGAAGGGAGGCAACTCTACATTTGCAAGGGAGGGAATTCTGCACTTCAAATCAAAACAAACAATGATAAAGACTGTTTTGTTTGTTTGTCATTTAATCCTGCTATTAGCAATATTCCAACTATATGGTTGTGGTCTGTAAATAATCAAGTCTGGACCAGACAATCCAGTGATCAACATCATCAGCATCGATCTACACAATTGGGATACAATGACGTGTCAACCAAGTCAGCGAGTCTGACCACCCGATGCTGTCCGTCATCTCTTACAACAAGCATGGGATGCTGAAGAAGAATTGTATCCCGGATCTACACAGGTACATGAAGAATGTACATACACTGATCTGTCAATGGCTCCGACTTCATTAGACATGCCAAGACCATAGTAGCACAGTGCACCGAGGCCAACCAGAGACGCACCAGCCACAACACCTCGCCCAACAGAGAAGGCTGCAATAAATACACACAGACACTTTGATGAGTGAGAATCAAAATGATCACCTATATTCAAAATATTCTTCTTGTATATAGTATCACATGCAACTTAAAAGTCTTATTTTAGACATGTCTCTAGAAAGTGAAAATTAGCAAAGAGAGACAATGGATTCACTTGATTCAAGACATTAAAAAAGTATAAAGTTTAGATTTTTCACTATTATTTGATGCACACTCCATTCATAACATAATGGTACTCATTGATATTCACTGGCCCTTGTCCAGCTGATCAGTGTGTTTGTTGAACACAAGAGCCAAATTTCTCTTCAGCTTCTCTTCGATCCTACCATTCTAAAAGATGTTTTGTGATGATGATTATGATGATTTTACCTGAATCTCCTGCAGGGGCCATGGCCATTTCCTTCAAACTGCGAGCCTTGGCACGCCGACTGAGACCAGATCTTGTCTCAGAGGCATAGTTCTGTACCCTGATGATGACACCTGGTCTGCTGGCTGATCGTGCTGTGGACTGTCCCAGGGTTGTGACGAACGCTGTCAGAGGGACCTTTCCCACTGATGCAAACCTTGCTGCTAGCATCGTCGTTGGTTACTTAGTTGGTCTGTATAGTCCTTGACTGTACAACTGGAACTTGCAGCCTGTGGAACTTTACTTAACCTGTTCATAAATGGAAGAAATTTACAATATTCACATGATTGAAATGGAATTATAAATTCGAACCGGACCATCTTGTAGCTGGGGTCTTGATTTGAAAACATAGAGCATACAGAATCAAGCAACGGATATTAGCAGTGTTGTTTGCTGTGTATTTCGTTGTATGGACTCGTGGTCTAAAAATATTTCACTATCAATGCATATTCTACATAAAACGCCATACCAGATTTTGCTTTTTAAAAGTGTCATTTGGACATGATATTACATGTACCTAATTTTGACGGGGCTTTCTTCCTTGTCATTTACAAACTTAATGTTTTCTTTAGACATGTCAGTTCTAGAAAATGAACTTAAACGAAATTTTGCCACATGTGAACATGATGAATATGCTAGACAATATAATGATATAAATTAGTAGGACACTGAGATTTAATCCCAGATTGATGAGTAATTCACTAGTATAACAACAATGAAAAGCCTAAAGTAACACAGAACATAGGTGTTTGCAACTTCGATGTAACTCAATGAGCAAAGTATGGTGCAGACAAACCATTCATAATAACCATCACTAACCAGGATATGAACCCATGATTAGATAGAGAACCCTTGCACAACTATTGGTATCTGTTGTTTCTGTTGAAATCACTTTGTTATAGTTGTGGTCCGATTAATTGAAATAATTGAAGATTGGTCGCAGTGACATATTTTTCACAAGGTTGGTTTTGTTAGTTACATTTTATAAGCACTACAAGCTCGTTCCAAGTCAGGATTGAATTTATCTTAAAGACTCAAGGAAATTTTAATTTATGTTCCTAACATACTAGTCATCCATAAAGATGTGAAATTTGCAAATGCATTTTGTGCAATTTGCTAAAAACATCAGAAGAACTACATGTTTTTTCTATATTTTTTTTACATTAACAAACATAACCAGGGAAATTTGATAAATGACGCTAACCAATTATTTTCGATGATTGATCGTTTGTTATGAACCAATCATCAATTATGAGATTTTAACCAATTCCCAACACTACTTTGTAATATAATGATTACATCTGCATAAAACAGTAACATGATTAATTTGGTAAACCTTTAACCATGTTAGCCTTTTGGATGATGAATGTGGTGAATAGCAGCGTTCGAAATACCTGCCTGCCCGACCGCCCGGGACGGGTTGTTTTCAACACGGACTGCCAGATTCTCAATTTCACCAGCCCGACGGTCGGGTTAAAATTGAGACATGTATATGAACAGAGCTACAGATACCTTTTGGGGCCATTGAGTTATGTACTCACTTGTGTTCATCTCAATTGGGTATCCTCATTTTCTTTTGAGTAACCAAATAAATTGTACTCACCTCACTCAAACTCAATTGGGTATTTTGCCATTTTCCATTAATTGTAAAAATATAATAAAGTTTAAATGTTACTGTTTGTTATTTATATTTGATCCGTAATATGAGAAACGATAAGAAAGACTGCAAGTTGTCAAGTTCATGTCCTGAAATAGAACCTCTCAGTATACCTCAGTTATTTTATCTGTCCACCGGTACGCAAGCTAAGATTTGACATTTGTGTGTACGCATGTAAGATCACATTAATTGAGTATTTACAAAAATTCAAGCGTACTTGTACGCAATAGACTTAATAGGAATTGAGTTTTCACATAAATATTTGCGTAATTAGCACAGATACACAGCTTATATGTACCTCTGTATGAAGATATTGATCATATTATAGGATAATAAATCATTATTAATTCACACACAAATCTGAAATAAACAGTTAATTCTTTTTTTGCATTGGCATTAGTTTTTTTTCTCAATATTTTACAAGTTTTAATTTAATTATACTAAGTAAATTAGTATTTTTGTGGGCAGGTAAGTTTTGGTCAGGGCTGACAAGTTTTACATCTAACCAGCCCTGTAGTCTGGCTGACATTTTTTGGGAGTTTCATACCCTGTGAATAGGAGTAGTAAATCTGACATGTCTGATCGAATTTAATCTGTACTGATTGCTCATAATGCTATGACAAGGAGTACATAATCTCTTTTTGTTGAGTAATTCACTTCCTGATCATGTGAGTACGGATATGGTAAATACATTTTGATTATTTAGACTGCATGATACTATTTAGGTGCACCTTTAGAATTCAGCATCACAACTAAATACATGGATGACGGCTTGTGTTTAGTCAGATTACTGATACTTTTATAGATGTTTATGTGATTAGCGAGAAAACAACACTTTCTGAAGTGATTACACAATGCCATTTACAACGTTACTTTCTGGAGTGTCCAAACATCATAAAAATATATGTACCGTACAGCTTCTTTGATTGGAAAACGTTAACACATGATGCAATGGACACTAGGGGAAAAGTCAATGACTGTTGAAAATTACGGAGGATATTGTTTTTGATTTGATTCATGTCTGAAAGTTTCAGAAGCAACCCAAACCACTTTGTTGAATGTGACTTCCAGTTCCATCCTTTCGCTAGCTCAAATTCAGGATTGATCGACCTCACAGACTAACACGGCAATAGCCAGCACTCTCAAATATGAATCAGCTATTTACGAAACGTGAGCCATGAACTAATTACCAGATACCTGACGAAATCACAAACTACCCGAGTCAGCTGTTACAGTGTTAAGTCTCTTCCCTATTTTACCTTTTAATTTCAGCGCCTGCAGACGTGGGTTTAAGACAAACTGAAGGCCTTCGTTCACTGTACAATTGTTACAAACACACTGATTCAGACTGACTACACTAGCAATACGAACTTACGTAAAATGTGTACGAAATGCGAAAATTCTCGACCTGGAAACTGATGTAACAGTTATCTAGTTCTATACATTCTCTGCGATAACGAAAGCGACGAGTTATAGAGACGGAACCCAGCTTATATCGCAGACAGAACCCAGTTCAGAACATGACCGGAAATGGTGAAACATCACAGGAACGTGGAAGAAAATTGCGCTCGTGTGGACAACGCATATGATTTATTGTTTCACATAATTATATTGCACGGCAATATTAGTTTTACATTCATTTTAAAAGCATTATGATTATGATATTGACATGTAAGATTTAATAAGATTTGTTCATGGTTTTGCTTCAATAATATTCTTGGCTAGGAATACAGTAGTACAGTAAATGAATCACTTTTTATGTAAAGTGAACACCATTGTTTTTCAGGTTCATGGTTTAGTTTGTTTTGTTTATATGATGCCCCACATAGCGTCATTTTAGCTGACATGTCCGAAGAGCATAGTTTTAATGGTGTTTAAATCATTGAGTCGGTATTTGTTTGATTAAAAATTTGAAAAGATGTAAACTGGCAGTTCTACAACGCATGCAGTATAACCGACCAATATAAATAATACTTCATTTAAACAAACAGACTTCATAACAAAAACAAAATTCATGTTCACATTGATAAATAAAATGTAATGTTGTGCTGAAATATAAGAATTTTATAAGTAGATATGTAACTACTGACGGGGTACGTGGTGGAGTAGCCTACTGGTTAAGGCTGTAGGTGAATTCGTAACCAAAACCGGTTCGTAGACGTGGAAATCCGGTGGATTCGTAGACGGATTGAGCGGTGAATTCGTAGACGTTATTAAAATTGGAAAAGCTCAATGATGAAGAAAATCGACGAAAAGTGTTTGCATTTTGTGAAATAAATAAAATATATCAGGTAAGTATGATCGGCGGTGAAAATATCCTTAAATAATAAAATAACAAAATATGCTAGTGTTCTATTCCCAGAGGGTGTTTCAGGTGTGTTACTTAATCGTATTAAGTTGCTATTTTGCCCTCACGTTATTGAATGTTGGTTGCATTTTTTTATAATCCTACCACTGTCATTGCGTTTTAATCATATTGTAGAAGGGGGTACGGGCGGAACTCTTTCCACATTCACAACAACTCAGTGAAACCTGTTAATCCTCCCACAACAATGAAAAACCAGTCGGCAATTATGATGAGTAGACTAATTTTCTCTAATCCGCCGACAAAGTTTACCTGTACACACACTTATGGTATATAAACCTCAAGAAGGTAGACAAGATACGGGAAAATATTCGTTCACACTTCAATCACATTTTCTTGTGTCCTCAGCTGCCCTTAGTTTCGTATCACTGAAAACAAAGCATACGGGAAAATATTCATTCACATTTTCTTGAGTCTTTAGCTGCCCTTAGTTTCGTATCACTGAAAACAAAGCATAACAACTTCGTTATAAACATTCTAAGTAAAAATCAAACTTAATATATACTATTATTCAATTATTTATACACGTCTACGAAATCACCGTCTACGAACCGGTCTGGGTTACGAATTCACCGCGTCTACGAACTGGTTTTGTCTACGAAATCACCGTCTCCCGTGGTTAAGCGTTCGCTCGTCATGCCATCAGTCCGGGTTCGATTCCCCACATGGGTACAATGTGTGAAACCAAATTCTGGTGTCCCCCGCCGCGATATTGCTGGAATATTGCTAAAAGCGGCGTAAAACTAAACTCACTCACTGTAACTACCGACATGCTTTATTTGCTCAGATCATTCGTATTTTCGTTTTATTCATCGATCTTGTCAACGTACACAATTATATCTTCTCGGCTGACTTTAGGACGTGTTATTATACGAAATAACAACTTGTATTTAATAAAAAATGAAAAAAACTTGTACGTTACCAAAGATGTTGCTTTACAATCATATTGATGACCAGACTTGTGTGGATGGAACAGAAATGTCCATTAGAAATGAAATTAGGGCAGCGAAAGTGTACTTGAAACAGATTTAATTGCTTTAAAATATATAGGTGATTAGGTTTGTTCACTAAGATACCCCAACACACATTTTTCTGTGTTGTTTCTGGTCCATGTCACATACCTTCTTAACTACATACCAACCTGAGAAAACTGAACACAAACATACAGCTTACTTGAATTCATGTTTCTCAATAAACATTTACAACTATTCGATTGTTGATATATCACAAGTCATACAGACAAGGTACGTAAGATTCATGCAAATTATATCAAAGTTTCAAAGGTAGACTCTCGCAGCATCACCTGAAACTATGGTTAAATATCATTAGGTACTGAAACTGTTAATGAAAACAATTGTGATGGGTTTCAAATAATCTAAAGCCTCTACACAGCTTCAAGTCTTTACCGCCAAAGACCCGGGTTCGAATCCCCACATGGGCACAATGTGTGAAACCCATTTCTGGTGTCCCCCCGCCGTGATGTTGCTGGAATATTGCTAAAAGCGGCGTAAAACCAAACTCGGTCAGTCAGTCAGTCAGTCAAGTCTTTACATTAGTTGATGAGCTTTTTTCATTCATAAAGTTCATTTATTTCTGAACACCTTTAATTTGAACTGTCTTTGAATATTAAAGCTTATTTGTAGTATTCGCATGTAATCGTGTCTTGACAACAGAACAGAACCTTTATTACGCTCAGACCGGGATACTTGATGTAAGAGGTACCAATATGCAGTTAAGAGTACACAGGCGGTTTACATGGAATATTGTACAGTTTTCATGATGGTATTACAAAATATACATAGTTTTTATTTAAAACACTAATGAAATTTCTATCGTTTGAGCTGGGTGAATTAGATAGAAATTGATTTCTCTTTAGGGACAAACCAGATAAAAGGGGAGGTAATGCATGGTCTAGAGGGCGCTGTCAGATATGTCTATAAATGTGACGTCATAGCGCGGTAAGTTCATTCTCGGCTGCGACACCAGTACTGAACATATTGATTTGTCACATTTTGTTCCACGGGTATTCTGTTTTCTGACCATGTCTGAACAGCCGGATATTAATGAAAAGTTGGATAGTATTTTAAAGAAGATTGAGGCTTCTAAAGCAGATATTTTCCGATCTGTTGACGCAAAGTTTGCTGGTCTGAATGAAAACTACGCTCGCACGTGTCAAGAACTTTCTAAGTTGAAGTCTGAAAAGGATTTTGTGTGGAAGCACGAGGGACACAGAATTCAGTATTCTTTAACTCAGACACAATCGACGGTTTAAAGCAGATGAAATTTGCTTTACAATACGGAAAAGCCGATTATCTAAGTGAGCTTTTGAGTCTGAGATCAACAGAGTTGAGAAGAGAAACAAACTCATCAGGATTGCTGATACGTCCGAGGGAGGCTGGGAAACAGTACGTGAATATGAAGCTAACGTTCTTGCTGACAACTCTGACGATGAGAGGAGGATTTCACGCGCGACACCAGGGCCGTTAAGAAGCTCGAGAAAAGAAATCGAAAACTTTCCGATTCGCACCTTATTCCAGGCCACCAGCGACTGTCACCCAGTTTACCCTGTGTTCTGGCGTTAGCAGTCTGTCTCTCCTTCCCAGCAGCCCCTTCGTGCTCAGCGACGAGGCACGTGCTTCGCATGCGGAGACCCAACACACTGGAGGAGAGACTGCCCGTCTGTCACCGGGAGACCTCAGCGAGACAGCAGGGTCGTTGAAGACAGAAAGCTCAACGCCTAAACACGGTAATTGTGAACACTTCTTATTAACTGATGACTTTTACGAATATGAGCAAGGTTGTGCTGAGATTAGAGTAAGAGGTCGTCTTAGAATGTCCTGTGAATTTTGGCGCGAAATCGGTGCTACTGACTTTGTTTTGGATGTGATTGAAACGGGATATAAGATTCCATTTTACTCTACGCCCCCAGCTATGGAACTGAGAAATAACAAATCTGCCATTGCTCATTCCAATTTTGTTTGTGACGCTATCACGGATTTGCTACGTAAAGATCTTATAGTTGAATGTATTGAACCTCCATGTGTGGTGAATCCTTTATCTGTTTCCATTCAAGCCTCCGGAAAGAAAAGACTAATTTTGGATTTGTCAGTAAAGTATGAAGATTGGAAAACTGCTTTAATGTACATTAATGACAATGATTGGGATTGTAAAATTTGACATACATTCTGCATACCATCATTTGGAGATATTTCATGAGCACACGGACTACCTTGGATTTTCCTGGGAGTGGCCATGTGGTTTTTTAGTTTTGCCTTTTGGACTGACTTCTGCCCCTTACATATTTACCAAAGTTACTCGACAGTTGGTCAAGATGTGAAGGTATCCGCATTGTCACATTTTTGGATGACGGTATCATGTCTGAAAGTTCACAATCGAAGTGTGAGGTGGTAGCTAATAAGGTTAAGAGTGATGTAATTAGATCAGGCTTTGTTCCGAAAGCAGAAAAGTCCTTATGGTCTCCATCACAGCAATTAGAGTGGCTAGGTTTTTGCGTTGATACTTCTCTGTTCACACTGTCTGTGCCTGACCGGAAGATACAAAAGGTGAAGGACACTATCAGTAGTTTGTTATTTTGTTCAGGTGTCCGGGTTCCAGTCAGAAAATTAGCTTCAATTGTGGGTCAGATTGTAGCAATGAAACAAGTTATTGGCAGTGTATGCCAGTTGATGACTAGCGCCATCTCTTTGGATATTTTGAATGCACAGTCTTGGGGTGACAAGATATATTTATCACAGCAGAGCATCCAACAGCTTCGGTTTTGGGTTTCTAATATTAGCAACTACAACATGAGGTCGTTGTGTTCAGATAGTTCCCTAGTCGGACCGTGTACAGTGATGCCAGTAGCACGGGGTACGGGGGTTACTGTGTTCAGTTTGGAGGTAGAGAGTCTCATGGAGTGTGGTCAGAGGAGGAGATGAAGATGAGTTCGACGTGGAGGGAGTTGAAGGCTGTAGCTATGGTTCCTGAGAGTTTTCTGACTTTTC